AATATTACAGTCAGCTAACCTGAGCACGAATTCCAGTTAGGGATAACGTAATCAATAACAGGTTGCATATGCCTCAGGTTTTATCCTTTCGAATCAGTTTCAGAGAAAGAAAGAGAGAGAGAGAGGGAGAGAGAGGGTAGAGAGAGAGAGAGAGGGTAGAGAGAAAGAGAGAGAGAGAGAGAGAGAGAGAGAGAGAGAGAAAGAGAGAGAGAGAATGGGGGAGATCAGCAATAATAGACAGTATGCGCTGCCTATCCAACAATATCATCCACAGAAGCTGTCTGAAATTGTCAAGCTACTCGTTCAATCATTATTTCACAAAACTGAACTTGTGTATAAACATTACAGCAAACCAGAAGTTACCACCAGCAAAAAGAAGAAAAAGAAGAAAGCAAAGAAGCAGCCAGACACGAGAACAGACACCGACCTGGCATCAACACAGCCCAGTGACACATCCCAAGCATCTGGACAGAGCTTTGAAATGACCACCACTGGCTCATGACACTGTACTGAAGTGTTTGCACATCATGCGACTCACTCGTGTGACAGTCATAGTTAGATCTCATTTTATAAACGTGCTTCAGAGCAGAATGAAATCAATTCAATTCAATTGATTGAAATTATATATAAACACGAGGAACAACAAATGGGTGACTATTAATGAAAATATTCATGTGTAATTGTGGTATATTATACATAATTTTTGTTAAAAACAGATTTGTGAAAAGTAATTTAATTAATATTGTCCATTGTTATTAATGTATATATTTTTATGTATAGACTAGATAATAAACAAAGAGGAATGTGGGCAAGTTGTCAAAAATATATGCATATATTCACACACACACACACACACACCCATATTATATATATTTTATAGCGTCTGTGTCTGTATTCAGAACAACTGATGTAATAATGTGCCTTTTTTATGTTTCTCACTTTTCCTACTTTGCTAAGAGAAAGGAACTGTTTTAGAAGCAGATTATCTTCGTATCATTACTGGCATTTATGTAAATTGGAATTGCTCTACGTTGCACACTGTTGGAAATAGTAAAATAAGGAAATTACCTACTTTCTTGTTTACCTACGAAGCATTCGTGATGACACATCCTATAAAAGTTTCTATTAGCCTGTATTGACTCAAGTTCAACTGCTTGGCTTTCAAATTTTGTGTAAACAGCATGCTTTTTGAATTAAAGAGGGTGAAATGTAATGCAGATTAAAAAAAGCCTGAATAACTTTTGTTTTTAGATCTATACTGTATATGGTACTAATCTAGGTTGACTTCCTTGTCTGTAGAATCGTCTGTAGCATGAGTCGGTCCATGACCAACATGTCACTCAGCATCGGACTTCTATTAAACGGCCACTGCTTGACGCTCTCTAGGTCCCGAATGTTTGATATTCCTCCATGCGTGGCCCTAAAGACAATGTGTGTAATAGACGAACTTCGTATCCACAAGCTTAGTAATAGATATATAAACTAATATATCTATTACTAAGCTTCTTTATCTAGAGATATATAGTTTCTCCATCGTGATATTTGACAGCTGATAACTGAAATATTCACCCGGCATTACTGACAAGCCACACTAGCCAATCAACATTGCACTAAAAAATTTTAAAGACACTGCTTAGTAATAACGGGCACCAAAGTCGATATTTGAACAATCATAAGCTTAAAATCATGTACAAATAAGTCAGCAAATGGCGGGGGGGCATTGTTATCTTCTGCTCAGGCATATCTGTTATTTGGGAAGGATCATGTGCAAATGAGTGGCACAGATCTTTTATCATCGTCTACCTGAGTTGTGTCTCCGTTATCCCGATCTGCATGGTTAGTTGGAACGTGTCGGCACTGTTAGGGAGCTTCCTGTAGACACACCAGCTCCTTGCAGCATCCACACAGCACCCTTGCTTCAGCATCAGTAGGACGTAATTAAACATGGCCACCGCACCATCTACAGCAAACACACGAAACACAATACTATAGACATTTAGCAACAAACACACAAAACAGACGGAAATTTAATTGACCATTTATAAACAAAATATATATATATATATATAGACAGACAGACAGACGGCAGACAGACAGACAGGCAGACAGACAGACAGAAAGAGATAAAAACACGCAGACAGAAATACATGCAGACAGCCAAACAGACACAGACACATAGACCATAGACCGACCAGTTGACCGACTGACCGACCGACCTACCGACGATCTGATTGAGTGACAGAAATAGAGAAACAGGATGATTGGCAGACAGATAGATAGATACACACAGTTAATAATTGTATGAAATGACTCGTCAGTTGAATCTATTCGCAAACGTGTTTTTAATTCAGTTACCCTTTCAAAAATTCAGAAATGTAACTCAAGTTATTAGAATTTACTTGTTCTATACAAGCCTGAGCAGGTTTTGTGTTACGTTTACATATGTTGGACACATTACAATACACACACCGCGATTGCACTGCAGAGACTGGCGTAGCTGGTGCACAGAGTCTGAAGGCTGCCCCATCTCTGCCAGTAGCAAGCCTCGTTTGAGATGCGCTTCTGCCTTTAGACGAAGAAGACAGTTGCATTTGGCTTCTAGTTGCTTTGCTTCTGATGGGAACACGCTGTAGAGACTAGGTAGCAACCTAAATGCACAGATGAGCAGATATCAGACATCTGCTGAAATAATGAGAACAGAGTAAGGGAGAGCGAAAAAGATATGGAACGGACGTCAACGGGAACGACTAATTGGATGTAAGTAAGCATGGATCGATAGAGGAAAGAAGGAATCTACCCTCATATCCCTTCGTTTGGACACAAAATTTTATGCGGCAAAGCATCTTCCATTACGCAATGGAAGTCAATCGGACAACGAGGTGAATATCACAGAGATTTGTATTGGGGTCAACATTAGAAGCCCTCCTGATCTTCTGGAGCATAAAGATAACTATATCTAGATCACTTGTAGTATTAACTTTTGCTACAATACCTGGAGAAGCTCTCCAGGGCTGCAGATATGTCATTCATCTGCACAAGTGCTTCACACTTCAGCATCAGTGCAATGACATCAGTGTCCAGCTTCCCGACTTCAATGTCAAAGTCACATTCGCTGTTGCAGCAGTAACCTGCGAATTCCTCTTTGGTGTCAGAACCACCACCGCCACCAGGTGTATTATCACCATCGCCCTTCATCGGCGTAATGTTTGTAATAACTCTCACTGACAATGCATCTCTGGAACCTGGCATCTCTTGAGAGTTAGTGCCCATGACCTGCCTGCTGCCATGCTCATTGCACTGAAGGAGGCTGGCACACGCTAGACAGTGAATGACTTTCGGAGGCTTGCGAGTACCACAACATGAATTATACATCCCTGTTGTCTGCCTGACATCTGTGCTGTCTATGTGTCCAGATTTCACACCCGGTGGTGCGCTGCACTGGCGGCTATTGTCTGTACACCGTGGCTGTGGGTCTGGATCATCAGCAGTAGCAATGCTGCCGCCACTCCCTACCTGTTCGATTTTAGAGTATTTCGCAATCATCCAATCACAGATCACAACTGCCTCTCGAAGTTTCCCACAGCAGATGGCAGCACGAGCTGCTTCATGAAATGTGTGCCGGATGCCTGGGAACGGTACGGGCCACCATGATATCTGCAATATGAAATCGCACCATCATACCATATCATATTATTATATATAATATATATATATATAACAGTGGAAAAGTTTGGAGTGATTATAATAAGAGTAAGTGAGAGATACGGCTGTATATGCGATCATTGCCAGGTAAAATAAGTCAAGCAGGAAAAAAAGGCTAAAGGCATTTGGAGAAAGAGAGGAGAGAGGAAGAAGCACATGACATAATTATGCAGCAAATTATATTCATCCTTTTATTTTCGCTGTTGCTCTCACAATAGCCAAATCATACGTACACCGCGGTTATTGCTTAATAGTTCAGACTTCACACAATTCAATCCTCACCTCCAGCATGGGGTTGTTAAGGAGTAGAGCCAACAGACTGAGATAGCTTTCAAATGCGGCCTGCTGGTGGTGCGTGGCAGCACAGCGACGAGCAGTCGTATACGTGGCCGCCTCTAGAGAGATGTCCTTTCGCATGACCTTTGACATTTCCGCCTCCAGATCCAACACTGTGGATGCATTTGATGACAACGAATTTCGTTTTACATTCTGCAGCATCTGAAAGGGAGTGCAGTAGAGTGCTATATATATATATATATATAAATATAAATATATATATCAGGGAAAAAATTTATTTTTTGGGGGCTACTTTTCAAGCTCGCGTGCATGAAAATAGCACTCTAAAATTTGGTTTCCATTGAACTCTATGCAAATTTACGGGGGCTCTTTTGGGCATTTCCGGGCTCTTTTTGGCATTTCAAGGGCTAAATCGCCCCAAGCCCCCGTGTATTTTTTTCACTGATATATATAGTATAACATACAGAATAATTACCACAGAAAGCACAAGCATACATACTCTGACAGTGAATGTAAATAATAGTGCCACTTGTCAGTAAAAACAGCATTTACGTTCACTTGACAACTTATACCGCGTACAGGTACACTGCAGTATATCTCATCATTTGTACTGCTTAATTATTACGATTTCCAGATCTGTCAGCTCACTAACGCATACCTTTACAAGGAGATTGAGTGCTTCTAGTTCAGCATCATACATATGCAGAGCCCTGTACCGCTGCGCGACATGGTAGAGAGGCAGCAGATATGTGAATCGCGAAGCCTGCAGGGACTGCTGGAAACACTGGATGGCCATGTGAGGCTTGCCCTGAAGGGTACGAAGTGAATATTCACCACACATTGTTATCAACGACCACGAAGGGCACATCATTATGCGTGTTAATGTCGATAGGATGGCCAGTTTAATTTGGATTTGCTTTTCCATAACTTTAATAAATATATTATATATATATTATAATTTCACAGTGATACCATACAAATTTATCATACATAGATTTAGATCACACGATTTAGTTATACACTTAAAAGTACAATTATAGCATTGATAAAAAGGAGATGCAGACGTTACAGGTAAGGTCAAGGTCTACCTTTGCAGCCAGACAAGATCCCACTAAGTTTAATGCCAGAGGTTGCAGCTGCGAGTCCTGCACAAGCTCTGTTAGCTCTGCTAGTTCTATCAGCTCTCCTGGGTCAGTTGGCTCAACTGGCTTATCACCGTCTAGCGCATCGGCCATACCTGCAACAGCTGAAAATTCCCAAGTTCTTTGGCTTTTAACACTGCTTAACAGCTAGTCAATCTATCACCCAACATCTCACTGCCATCCCAAAAATAAATATAGAACTAAAGAAATAAATACATGAAGTTATCGCCTCCCATACCTTTCAAATAGCACACCAGCGCCTTTAGACAATCAGTCTCTATCGCCTTCACCGCAAGAATACTATCATTTCTGCTTCCAAGATGATACAAGACGGCTGCCTGGCATTAAAATACATGACCACAAATTGATTATCAACCTTAATTCAGTTTCTAGATTTTCTCTTTGAAATATAATCTCTTTATATCAGATGCTGATTAAAAACTGTGATAGTATGCCATTGAAGATAAAAATAATCAATCATCAAACATGAGAGACCTTGATCAGTTACTGTATACACCATATTTTTTTAGTACATATATTTTCGCCAATTCAGACTTGACGGACAATTTCGCGAGTGGCTAATTTCGCGGTCGGTGAATTATTAATTATACGGTAATCGGGTATGAATTATTCGCATGTTGCTATTTTCGCGGTCGGGGACGCGTTCGCGAAATTCGCAAAAATTAAACCTCCGCGAAATATACAGTGTATGCAGTATAGTAATTTGAAAACATTTAAGTAAAACATTTATAAGTTTAATTCAATGGTTGACTACTATATATGCTATCTCTAATTTTCTACAGTGCTGTACTAACCTTCATTACAGACAGACAATCATCAAGCACAATGACAGATGGATATCCAGACTCATCCAAAAAAGCGTCATCCACTAAATATTTGGCTAAAATGTGCCCAGTGTTGCACTCCTGCAACTATGATAATACCGAAATGGTGTTAAAATTACGTATGCACATTTATCAACAATTTCCGGCTCACATTTTTTCCACAGACCAAATCTCTACAACCTACATTTTTATTAAATTATCATTCAAATTTTATAATTTTAAGAGTAAAGTTATCAAAAATTAAGACTGTGTCTACACATTAATTATCAGTCAACATTATGACATCATGCAAGCAGGATCTCCCACCTACATGTATATAAATAATAGATTAAGTAGCAAATAATTAAGCCTACTTCTTCATTCACTACTTTCACTGCCTGGAGGGATTCGATGACACTCAGTGCATCACTGTAGAAAGTGTCCATCATCAGGTGTAGCAGCACTATGATGGTTGGTAGCACTAAACTGCTCCACAGTTTACGGCCCATTTCTGAAAACAGGTTAGCTTCCACTAAATATTACTCTGGCAACAAGAGCTTTCATGCATGCATTCATGTCTCCCAATAAGCTAAAGATGAATGATGAGAAGCACTTCACATAACCACTGCTTCACATTACTGATGAGCTGATTTGTGATCACAGCAGAGATCCACTGTATATATGTTAAAAGACATTATCATAATGCATTATTAGTTACAGTGTTCAGACAATGCAATCCCAATGCTACTACCATCCAAAGGCTACCAGTGTGTCACCTATTGCAACGTATAAATTGCCAGTCAATATCGGAGGATAAGTTTTTAATTTCACTCTCAACTAACAATCACAAAAATAAACTTCTAGCGCCCTGGGTTATAATTGGGCTGATCGTGTAATCTTAAACGAATAATTTTTTTGACCTAATGTAACATTACACATGAATTTGCAATGTGTATTCTTACACCAGAGGGAGGGAGATTACAGCACTCACCTTTCTCTGCCTTGCACAATTTCTCCAGTAAAGTAGCAACATCCTGCCAGTTTGATTCATGATCTGTCACATTCACACGTGATAGTACATTCATCAGCATCTCACTAACTGAAACCAATGTGAAGAAAAGCAAGGTCAACATGTTGCTATGACACTTTTCTGCTCACTCCTGTCTTACATGATTCCAATATGAACATACCTATTATATACTCGTGCATATATATTGCATATATATATATATATATATAGAAAGAGAGAGAGTGGGAGAGAGAGAGAGAGAGAGAGAGTAGGAGAGGACGTGTACAATGAAAGACACGGAGAAAGAATAAAGGAGAGGGAGGGAGAGGGGACGAACGGTAGAGATAGGGAGTGATAGAAGAGGGAGCGAGAGAGAGAAAAAGGGTAGGAGGGAGAGTGAGTGAAGAATAGAAGAAGGGAGAGTG